TTTTTTTTGGACCCTTGAGATTTTTATTTTTAAAGGAGATTGAAGCCATAGAACTCATACTGACACTCAGCTAATTTACAAAAGCTTTTCATTACCTGAAGACAAAACGTTAACAAACAAACAAAAAAAAGCCAAAATCGCCATTGCTTTCTCCGGCTTGTCAAAAATGCATGGTTGAATACGCAGTGACATCAACATTAATGTGATGGGAGTCAAATTGGGCACTCGGAAACCCCTCTTCTGCTAGAAGAGATGCGTGTAATTTAGCGGTCAGTCAGGCCTGGCCCTTAAGATTTATTTTAATGGCCTCAGATTGGGTTATAAGTGAATGTGAGTAAAGAGATTGGGGGAAGGAGGAGGAATGTACTGCCCAACACCAAGCCAGGAACCGTCTAGTGGCACTTGGATGAACGGGGCCATAGAAGTCTTTGGACAGCCACTGGTGGCAACTGCGCATACAGGGATGCACTTGCAGTGCTTCATGTCCTAGTTGTGGCTCCTAATGTGAAGACTGATCCCTTTCAGCTTGGGGAAACTGGAACTGTGTATGCAATGGGTCGCAGTGACATATGAGAAGAAGTGGGGTGGGGGGCACTGTCAGTAGCATCGTTAATCACTGAATTCTGTCTTCTATATTAAATTAATGTTCAAAAAGCCATAAGCCTGAAGATTGGCACTGCGTGCAAAAAAGAGTATGGAAAAACAAGCTATGTCTTCTAAACTGCCTGAATGAAAAGCAATCAAGTCTAAGAAATTACAGTAAATATTAAGGGAGGAAATAAATCAGAATCTTTTTCAGCGGATCAAAAATACTTGATCTAACTGGAAAAAAAACAATGCTACAAAACCTGCCATTAGTATTACAATGTATTAAAAAAAAAAAAAGAAGGAAAGAAACAAAGCCTATTGGTGGATAGTAAAATTAAGAAGTAAACAGAAGAGCTCCTACACTGCCCTCTGAAATGAGTGTGCAGTTAATGTCAGTCAGGATTCATCTGTGCAAAAATGACAACAGATTTCCAGATTCAGCCAGCGTAGCCAGCAGAATAAATTTGATCCACATTGCATGGATTTCCTTTTTGGGGGTGGGGGGAATACAAAAAGCAAGCGATTTTTTTTTTTAATTCAAAGATGACAAAGTTATTGTAAGGTAAATAATGTATTTAGCATGAAGCATGAATTATTTTCATATAAATATAGAAAATAGAGCAAAAGGCTATGCCTCTACTTTTTAAGCCCTTAGGCTTAGAGGTTTTTTGTTTTGTTTTGTTTTTGTTTTGTTTTTGTTTTTGTTTTGGTTCTTTTTTTTGTTGTTGTTGGGGTTTTTTTGAAGCAGGTGTTTAAGGTTTAACCTTCTTCAGGGACAAACACTGACTGTTGGGGAACTTACTCTGCAATATTAAAAAATAAAATCTTCATGCTCTGGTAGGGCTTGGATGGTTGAATTATACTGCCTTGTCTGCACATTCAGCCCCCCTCTCCCTACTTCTGTTTAAAAAAAAATAAGTGTGTCCTTTCTTCGTCTGTACATGTGTAACATGACGCAATAATCTGAGGGCAAATTTAGTAGTGAGTGTGTATGACAGAATCAAGAGAATAACGGGAGGTGAAGTGAGGAGAACTCTCTGATTTGATTCAGGAAGGAGCCGATGAGGAAACAGCTTTGCTAGTTTGCCATGAGAAGCTGAAGTCAGCAGAGAGCCTTACTGAGGTGGCCGGAGACGGGCCGGTGTCACAGGGAGGGCCACTCAGGGACAGTGCTGCTCTCCTGCTGATGGGGACTGTGGGACGGCAGAGGGAAGCTGCAAAATAAATAATGCAGTTTCCCTCACCTGCATTCATGAATTTGGCATGAGAATTTCTACACTTAGAATATCCTAGAGGCAAGAAGAAAATCACAGGGGCTGGCACCCCCTACCACTGAGCGGAATAAAATGATCTGTTTCTTTGAAAGACTATCCCTAGCAGAACCGTTTCAGTCAGCAGTTTCACCGAGGTGGGACTGGGTTAGGGGGAGTGAGTGAGAGGAGGGCCTGACTTCCCTCTCAGTGAGTGAAACAGAAACTGCACCTGGAGCCGTGTTGGCCGGTGCAGTTAGGAAGCCAAGAGGCCAGTCTGGGCCTGCCTGGGCTCCTGTGCTCCACACGCCTTGTGCTGCGTGGAAACGGGACCCCACTGGGGCAGCAAACCAGAACCGAGCTTCTCCTCACGCCTCCCCCAGCGAGGCCTGGGATCCAAGTGCTGCCAGGGCAGGAGAGAGCCGGGGATGGTGCCAGGAAGAGCTTGTCCCAGGGCCAGGATGCACGGGCTCTATCCCCTGTGCAGGTGACAGCGGGAGCGCAGGGATGGAAACGTTGCCGGCTGCCGTGGAGGTCAAGCTGCGGAGGGCAGGAAGGAGCAGTCCCAGCAGTGCTCTGGCCGGAGCATGGGCCCTGTCTTTTCCTCTGGAGGAAGCCCTTGTGCAGCCCCACGAGGACATGGGCCTGGTGCCCCATGTCGGCTCTGCCTCCGGAGCCCCAGGCAGGGCAGCGCGCGGCCCCGCGCAGGAAGGCCGGGGCCCCTCGCGCCCTTCCAGGCATTCCAAACAAAACCCCACAGCGTCAGTTGGCCACCAGCTTCATCGTCTGGAAAATGTTCTGATATTTATCAAAAAGCTACGTTTAAAAGTCAAATTAAGTGAAATACCCTCAAAAAAAATGGGGCTCGGCCCTCTCTTTCCTCCAGAGAAAAGGATGTGGTTGCGGCACTGCACTGATCCCAGAGCAGCTCTGTGCGCCGCAGGGTGTCAGTGCGGGAGGTCGGGATCTGCTGCATAGCGAGGACCATTCATTAATGTGGACTCTTGGTGGCTAAGTGTGTATTTACCACTAGTATTACTCACTGTAGAAAAGTCATTTTGCATAAATATCTAATCAGGCGGCTTATTTTAAAAAGATATATATATATACACATATGTATACACACATATATAAAAATCTAAGACTTCAACACCTCCTTTATTTACCTCCTAATAAAATGTTGGCAAGCTTTTTTATTTTGATGTACAATTTTGTGTTCTCGGCGTGGTCTACTAAGGAGATGCTCAGCAGGGGCTTTTAAAGATGTGTTGAGGAACCAGCAGTTTGGCTGAGTGCTAATGCCATCTATAGATGATTTCTGGAGTTAAAACCAGCTTCTCCTTACTGACCCTTACGCTTACTGTTTACAATAAGTACATGATCTCAGATCTGGATTTGTGTCGAATATTTATGAGTCACCTCTTAAAATATTTTTGTGCCTGGCTGGCAGCAGCTTTGTCAGAGTAGGTCTTACTTCATCTGCAAAGTTCTTGTTTTTCTGAAGAATTAAGACTGATTTGTTTTCCAAAAAAAAATACAATGTCAGCCTTTCAATCCGATGGTCTTTACTTTCCCTAACTAATGCCAAATCTGAGTGGTGTTGGGACTGTATTACAACCCCTTCACACCTCAGATACCAGGTGATTTGTATTTCCTCGTTTGCTTTCCTTGCTAAGCCATTTTAGAGTGAGAAGTCCTAGAATCTCTAACTTCCAGTTTTCCTCACGCTATCAGTATTGCCAAATTGATGTTTTTCCAGAGCAGGTAGGGGTGAGGGGAGCCCCAGCAGGTCAAGAAACATTTGAGGGCAAGTTTCACATCGCTGTGAATTTTAAGGATCACTCACGCTTCGCCAAGGGTTCTTTGGGAATATTGGAAGACGCCCTTTGCGGGGAGAAGCTCTGGCAGGCCAGGGCTCATGGCAGGAGTGGATCTATCAAAGCCTGCCCACTAAAGGCACCCAGTGGTCACACTTGCCTTCTGCTAGCAACTGGGTCTCCTATCCAGAAATATTTTGGTGCAGACTTTGCCTGCCAAAAACACCGAGCTTGGGGCTTGAACAGCTTTGCTGTGCATGGCTGTGCTCTATGCCAGGTTGGTTCTGATCTTCTCCTCGCAAAAGCAGCAGTGAAGGTATTGATACTAGCACAGTTTTAGAGATTAAAAGCCTAGTGATGAGATGTGCCATTGAGGACCACAGAACTGCCCTGTGACTCTATTCTCTCTTCACACTAGCGATTCAGTTGGTGTCCTTGGGGTGGCTCCTCTCTCCTTAAGGGGAAAAAGGAAGCCCAAGTAGGTGTCTTGGCCCTGGTGTTCCACCAAATTACTGTCTACATTGGGAAAAGATGCAAGAAGCTCTGGGCTGCATTCTGCCCTGGAGTAAGGTAGAGATACAGCAACATACCTCAGCAGAGAACAAAATCGTGAACTACTTCAAATGGCACCATGGTGAAATTACCAAAACAAAACTTGGTCCCATCTTCTCAGTAGCCACAGTTGATTTTCAGTGAGGTTTTGGCTCCTAAATCACCAAGGCCCTGATTTTTCTTGAAGTATTTCCGTGTGTAGAGATGTAGATAGGTGCATTCTGAGATTTTCTAGTCTCTTACAGTGTCTAATCTCCTTTGCAGTCAGTGGAGCTATAGACACACAAGTGCTCTTGAAAATCTTTACTGATTTTTTTTTAATTGTTACCATTACCATTTTCCCTTTAATCTGGCCTAGGCGCTTTTTAAAACGTTACCCTCACGTGCTCCAGGTTCAGAATAAAACCATAGAGAGAATGCATCTGCAATTTCAGATTGAATGCAATTTACTTCACTTCATGGAGAATGCAAACCAAGTTCCTTCAGGTATGTCCCAACTGCCTGAAGAGCTCGTTGGTGTATTTTATAAGCAGCATTTTTAAACATTTTCTTGACTTTGCCACCGAAAGAGCATTTGAACCATAAATCCTCTTGATTGTAACAGAGTATCAGTGTTGACCGTATGACCAGTTAAGTTTTCGTAGTGTTCTTCACAGCCCTCCAGTAATATATCAAACACTGTTATGCACATAATGCAGCACTGTGATCTAA